AGCTAATCCAATCTGATGCTACTGTTGCAGTGACCAGATCGGTTTCCAGGTGCTTCATATGCCAATTTGATGCATCCCACCTCCGCCGCCAAAATCTGTTATGACCAATAGAGTCTGAACACCTGCTTGATTCCGCCTTGAGAACACAGAAAACGAAGACCACAGTGCAAAGTGCATTGATACAAGAACAGGCGAAAAGCAGAAGGAAACACACGAGAACCAGTTGTTTTATGGTCGAATACACAGCTGGTTAAATAGGACCCCGGAGGCCCGAGTGATGTGGGGTTTGTGTGAAACATGCGACACGAACAAATGTATCACAGCACAAAACGTAGTGTTCAGATTGTAGGCACAAATAGTTCCGACACAAACATGCTTTTGTCTTGTAAATGAACACACTTACTTTCTGAACAGCTCCATGTTCCGTTTTTGTGCACAGTTACAAAATGAGTAAGCAATTCTCCTGGCACTAGCAAAGTTACACTTCCGTGACATTTCGCCACCTATGATCGCTATGACTCTACACCCGGCACAACTGCAATCACTGAATTACCATAAAACCATTTCAGCAAAGTTTAGAATAATGTATGGTACCTACCATATACTTCAAGTTCTCTGCCCTGTTGGCAGGGCGCAACAGCATGCTCTCGATCACTTTTGATGCACCAACTTGCTGCTATTGACCTACCAAGTGATTGAATTCAGAGTATGTTGTCATAAAGCAACCCGACTGATGCACCACCAGTGCACTGAAGGAATACAGGCGCTCAGCAGAATAACCAATCATCTCACTTCGGCCATTTCTGGCCGTGGACCGCCGGCAACATTTCGAATCACCCGGAACCGTTGGACTTCAGTTTTCGCCCTAACTACTGGGGCAGTGCTGTCGTTAGAAGCAAATACATACTGTTTAAACAGGACATGTCTATTTCCCCTCGATTGCTGTAACTTCTTAGTACGCACTAAGGGGCCGCGCATTCAGGATTCTCCGTTTTCGGATCCTAGAGTGACCAATATGCACGATAATATCCGTGAATCCCTTGTCTGGGGTGAGGATGGAGGAAGTTTGTCATGTAGTCACAGGAAATCTATACGACGCGTAAACCCACCTTGGAACCAGTTGGAGCAACGGAGATAAGTGTGTGGAAATTTCTGAAATCTCACTGACTCCACCCAACAGCAAACCATCAGTCCAGATGGGCGCTGCATGTTCATTACAACTCTGTCGGGTTGGTAGATTGCACGACACAAAAAATTGAAATAAGGCGGAGATGAACGGCACTAAGAGTCAGGCAACTCATCCATGCTTTGGATCTCTTCGCTATTAAGGAAGCATGGCTGCGTTGAGACAACAGATGCTTGGGACGCGCCACTAGCTATCTCACACCCCACCACCAGTGAGGGCGGTGGGGCAGCTCTGCGTTCTAACAGCGATTTCTAGCGCGAGCACACATAAGCCAGCAACTGAGGTATTCGACTCCATTTGGGTGCATCCACCGGTGAGGTGACGACTCTTACCTCATGGTGATTTTCGCCCCTTCATCATATGGATCCCAGATATCTTCGAGTAATAAACAGGAGGTGCAGCTACATTGGAATCATTGGTGATTTTAACTAAAATGCTCCGGAACGCTATTACAGGAAAACGATTCATGGCTAGCCTGCAAGAGCTTAGCTCTACTGCCTTAAGGACACTTTATTTCAGCTACCAGACGCAGTGAAGTAAACAAGTCATTCATACACTGTAGGTTTTATGCACAAAGAACCCATGGTGAAGCGGGAGACCATGGACATTCCTCTAGGTCACATGGCTCATGCTGCTGTAATTCTCAACTACGTCTCCAACGCAGATCATTCGTGACACAGTATCCATGCAACGTGGAGAATTACGAGCTAAAGCGACCAACCATAGTTTCTTAGTCGAGGATACCTGGGTTGTTCCTCAGAGAAGTTTCATCAGCAAGTTCAACGTCCTGGTTGATGATGCATCAAAAATTAAGGCTAAAGTTTGATCAATATGGCTTTATTTGTACATTATAGGACACATAAATATGGCGACTGGAAACGTAGCATGATGTGCCACAAAACCGAACCGGATCCGAAAGTTTGGAAGAACCGTGTTGTTTACTGCGACTGTTGCATTCAGCAAGTCCGCGAGGAGAAAGTGACATAAACGGGCCATAACCGAACGATATATTTCGATGCTTAAGTTATTGTAGAAACATGTGAACAACCATCGCAAGGTATATATATATATATATATATATATATATATATATTTGTAACAGCCTACGAATAGGCCTGGAACCATCGAAAACCATGGAACTCAAAGGAAGGTACAGATATCATTAAAAAAACCCGACACAACACGGATGAGTCCATGGTTTCGTCAGAGGGCGAGGTACTACCCGGTTGCCTAAGCCGAGGTAGGGTGTTGTCTTAGGGGACACCAACCCGAGTGTTTTCCCGAATAGCCTGGCCGCAAGGCAGCGAAGCGAATTTAGGGAATCACGTCCATCGGGATCCGGCGACTGATTGTCCAGTTCATATGGCCTTCGTTTGCCAAACAAGGGCCCAATGCTCCCCATAATTTCAGCATTAATTTTCTGGAATACAATGCTTCGCCAGTATGAAGCAAGGGGCAGGTGAGTCACAGCTGCCACGTCTCAGTGTTGTTAAACGGACATATGTGGCTTTTTATAGGGAGATCGCTTGCCAGGCGAAAACCAACCACGTCCTGGAACACTGCCACCGAACCATTCACTGAAATAGGAAAAACCCGAACCACCTAGCTGGCAGCACAAGGAGATTGTTCCGCAAGCCTGCCCATAGCAAGTTGAAAAAGATTTTTTCTTTTCTAACAATGGATGGACCAACAGGGACCGACAAAGAAGCTGCGAATGCTGTGCGTCCACTTTTGTACTCTATGATCTCCTAACCCCTCCTACTGTGCCACCATCATAACTCGCTCACATTACCTTTACGGTAGCCAATGTGATGAGAAAGTTGTCATTTAAAAGTGTGCATAGCCCTAGCGGATTTGATGAAGCACTTGCTGTAGCAGTTGAAGATATGGTCGAATTTTTGGTGCGGTTCTCTAAGCACTGTCTTGGTGAAAGGCACAGTCCTATCATGTGAAAAGATGGGATAACTACTCCACTTTGCAAAAGTGGCAGTCGTTCCGACCTGGGTAATCATCGCCCAGTGACCATCCTTCTAGGTCTTTCAAAAGCTATTGAGGCTATCGTTGCTGAGGTGTACACATCTTATTTGGGCGAATTTTGCCACATTGCGAGACAGCAACAAGTCTTCCGTCAACATCGGTCAGCTGCTGAAACTCGTCATTTGCGCCGAAATAATAGACGTTGATTTAGGGGTCGATGTTGTCTGCTTTGACTTCACTAAAACATTAGACCGGTTGGACCACTGCAGATTTCTCACCAGAATTCATGGATACGGCACTGGTGACCATTTCCCTTCTCATCCACGGAAGGCTGAAAATAAGGGTGCGCGGGTCCGTATTGGGTTTTCTTCAAATCGAGTGCAGCGTACCACAAAGTTCGGCATCGGGGCCCGTCTATGCTTGGTCTTAATTAACGAACTGCTTGCACCAAAAGTGAGCTAGCATACAAAGAGCAAAATGACCGCACGCAGTCTCAGAACAACCTCCAGAAATTTTATGGATAGTTCAGAAACTTTGTAATTCAATGTAGAGTGATTTATTTATGGCACTGGTTGACTGGGATCTCCAGCATTGTTCTCGCGACAAATTCCTCGGTTCATCGATTCAAGAAGACTTCAGGTGCTTGCAGTAATCAAAATGACAACAAAGGAACGCATTCAAAACGTAGAACTTCTACAGAGAGCTTTCGGTAGTGTTGGTTCACTTACTTTTTCAGTAACTCATTGAACACGCACGCTGTCATTGAGATATGCACTTCATGTTCACAGCTTTGTCAGAAGCTGGATCTCACTTTGAAGATTCCGCAACACCGAGCGACTAAAAATGCCAAATGGCTGCGCCATTTACCCACGAACAGAGACCAAGTGTGCTAGGGGTTTTCACTGGACGATTGGGTGGTGACCATATCATAGTTTTCATCAAGCTTAACCCCGAGTTCTGCCACCAGTTAAAACCCAGTAATAAAGTAACCTGATAGACCATCATCACAAACACACAGTACCATACAGCCGCATGGAGTGTAACCGAAATTTCTTCTCGCTGCTGCTTACCATATCTGGCATATCCTCGAAGCGTCTGCTACCCCTACCACGATATTAGCCGTGCACTTACTGCAGTACACCACATCATGTGATCCACATGAATATCAGAAGACCAAAAGGCATAGACCCACAGCCATCGTGCAGGAAAAAACAAAAGTGACAGCCTTAAAAAACTACACCGAGTCCTGGGTAAAAAAATCAAATGGACAAAATACGGATGGGGAAGTTCAACGTTATTTGTGGTTTTCCGCTTCGTTTCATGAACGCCAATGGATCAATTGGCGGGAAATGTTAAGCTCTCTCACAACATACAAGCGGTCATGGAGACTAGTAGCTGCTCCTCTAGTGGCGCCCAGCTTGTAACACTCTGGAAATTTCCACGGGTTCATTATGTAAAATTCTAACAAAAATTACCACTCCTTGTACATTTACGAGGACAACGCGGGATTATGAGCTGCGTGCTGAGTTAGGTTGTTGGAATTGCTTGTTGCCCTGTGTGTCGGCTAGTTTTCATCGCGTAACCGCGAAGTGGGTTGCATTTCTTTAATTCCCCCTAGTTAGGGAGGCGCATCGGTATGGTTCATAGCTAGAACACAGGAAGATAGAAGTTTCCCTGCATCCAACTGCCGCTTGGAACAGCAATTTGGAGTTCCTGCTAAATGCCACTCGGTAATGCCGGATCTAATTGAAGACTAATATTCGGCAGAAATTATGTGGATTACTTTGCACTTAAGACATCACCTCGGTCGGTGATAAACCGTGTAATACCAAATTACCCGGCTCGCAGAGCAAATAAGCCCAATGAAAAACATGCACTTGAATCACTTCATGTAGTTGCGTCATTTGAACGTGCACACACGGTTTGTGATAAAATAGGACACACAGAACGGAGTACATCGGTCAGCATCTTAAAAGTGGTACAAGCAGATGGTCGCGACATTGAAAGACATATTAGGGACATTCAAAAAAGGCGATCGAGTATTTACAAAAGCCTTTAAACGCCGAGTAAAAGTTTCAGGCAACGTGATTGCAGTTTCAAATTATTTGCGAAAGAAACTCAGTCGGAATAAGCTGAAAAAATATAAAAACAAGAAACTGTGTATACACAAATATTAAAAGCTGTGCTTCAAAACGCATTCATGAAATTTAGTTCAGAAAAAGTAAGAAAATTTGAATCATAAGAGTTGAAGTAAGAAGTAAAAAATGGATCAGAGTAGATGGTTGGTCGTTTTCAAATTAACACTCAGGATGTCATTCACTATCTGATAAGTCCTCGTCTTCCACCTCATGTAACGCAGCGCTCTCGTTAACGTTGGTTTCGTCGATTCGTGTCTTGGGTAAGTCTGGTTGATTGAGGATATCATTCATGTCCAACAGCGGACAATTATTGTCGTGTTGTTCAGCAAAGCGCCACGGCTTGAAGTGGGGTTCATGTTGTTCCTTCCATGCAGGATATCTGAGGGCGGCTTGATGCAAAGCTTTCATCAGCCCCGGGACCAGCGATTTGGTTCCAAGATTAATGGCCCAAACTGGAATATCACCTGAGAACATGTTGACAACAGAAGGAATTGACTTGATTCACAAATGAGCAATTGGGTGAGCAAATCTGTTAGATGCATTGTATGGCAACAAGAATGACGGTGTCAATTCCGGTACTTTTTCTTAGACAAGTTAGCAGACCAGGTAGATGAACAGCGCTTCAACGCATCCAACCTATTGCGAGTCAAAAGCAGTTCGGATACACATATAACTGGTTTTCTCAGTCCATCTGTGTACCACGGTAGTAACCCTGTCATCGTGTTTACAGGTGAGGGAGGTGTCACATTTATTGATGAGTCCATACAGCCTGAATAAGATCTCTCAGTAGAAGAAGGTAGTGTGCTCAATGTGGGATTCAAAAAACTATGCAGTTGTTTCGTTTATTTACGTGGAATGAGATGACAACAAGGTCGATGCAATCAGCCCGAACGATGCAACGACTGAGACGAAGGACATAGGGGATTATGCACAATTTAATCTGTGTGGTTGGATTACCTTCGTAGTACAAAACGGCAAAGCATAGTAAGCTCCTCATGTATAATTTCACCCAATTCCCATGCGCACTGCGGGGATGAGAGGTGCTTATTCACATATAATGGAACCGATAATCCCCGGTGGGCAGGTCGTAATGAGATTTCTGAGGGACACGTAACGGTAATAAGCCAACGGGAATGTGCTAGGCCACCTTGAGAACGATCTCAGCAGCCAAAAATGGTGCACTCAGAGCTTAAGTGAACGAGGATTCCGTGCTACAGATAAAGGTATTGTGCTGAATAGTCAATGATATGCATGATTCCGATATCGTGGCTGTCAGTCTGCCTAGCTTTTACTTAGATTGTTCCACAAGTGACCAAAACAGTATCGAAGGAGTACCGACGAACGAAACGAGAAGCTCATGTGCGTAAGTCGACATGCTTCGCAAGAGATGAATCTACATACCAGATGCTGGAACTGGGTAGTTGGCAACAGGGTGAGTTTGCATGCATGACAGACGGATTGCACTGTACCTCAATATCCCATTACTATCGCTTTTGTTCTCAAGTTTAGTTAATTGCACAAGTAATTCACTCCAGGCTGGCGATCATTCAAACTAACGAAGCTCTCATAAAAGCGCTAGAACCGAGATAGAAGCGTTTTGTGCATAACAAAATGCCGGTTTCACTCATTTGTTCCAGCGTCTCACAAGCAACATAGTCCAACCCCAATACGGGCAAGCATAAACAGCCGTTTCACCTTATTGGGGCTCCTCCGTAGTGCGCATCCTGCGGCTTTATCTGGAACCGCACCTGTGATCGCCAGCAGCTTGGGCCAAATAGCTAACAGCTGATACTTCTGAGCCAAGGGGGCAGTGACAAATGATCGTAACTTGTAAGCTAATTGGGACACAGCACCATCTATCCTCCACTGTGATGCAAGTTAGCACCATTGCAGAGTAGAGCGAGAGAGTGGACTAGTGTTTCGTACATGAGTGAAATGAGGCAGCGTAGATAAATGCATTTGAAGAATTTGATTTGCAGACAATAACTTCTCCGTAAAAAATTCGGAAAGCAAGGTGAGACAACGAAGTTCGGCAGGTATAGACATTTCGCGCCGTCACTTCAGTGTCAGCCGAGAATGGGGAAACAATATGCGATGATATTGGACGTAAACAATCATACAAATAAACGGAATTCTCGGTCCTACTTCTAGGGCAACCTAAGAGTAACCGATAATTGCTTTAGTAAGCAAAACATCGGTTCAATCCGGCTTATTATAGAAGCTTCGGTGAACCGGGAATCGACAGACCGCAGCAGAATTCACAATGCTACGTTGACCTCAATGCGGTGGTCTGAGGTCATCAAGTGACTACCGATCGAAGGGGTTGACGGCCTGCGTGAAAACGCGCATGCTTGCTTGCTTGCGGTCTTGCACCGCGTTCACTTTGGCACATACTGCTTCCTTCGGGGACTCAAAGTCTTATCGGCACCACCTATGTAACTAACTCGACGGTTACATACGAATTAATATGCACAATGTGAGTTGGCCTCGATAGGTTGACTTTGCTCCAGTGGAGGCAATGACAACATGCGGGTTCACTCGATGATGAAAACTTTGGTAACACAGGAAGTGCTCTGCGTGGCAGAGACCAGACGTCTGTTGGTTCTCTTATAGATTTGATTGATCTGTTATCAGACGTTTATGACGACCTTATCTAGCCGTACCAGATAAGATTCATCGAGAAGCATAGGTAATCAAGGGATTTAGAGACCCATCAATTGCCCACTGTGCCTAAGAAGAATACATTCGTAAGGCTGCCCTCTAGTAGTGACATTGCTTCACTGAGGACCAACAGATGTCTGGTCTCTGCCACGCAGAGCACTTCCTGTGTTACCAAAGTTTTCATCATCGAGTGAACCCGCATGTTGTCATTGCCTTCACTGGAGCAAAGTCAACCTATCGAGGCCAACTCACATTGTGCATATTAATTCGTATGTAACCGTCGAGTTAGTTACATAGATGTTGCCGATAAGACTTTGAGTCCCCAAAGGAAGCAGCATGTGCCAAAGTGAGCGCGGTGCAAGACCGCGCAGCAAGCATGCGCGTTTTCACGCAGGCCGTCAACCCCTTCGATCGGTAGTCACTTGATGACCTCAGACCACCGCATTGAGGTCAACGTAGCATTGTGAATTCTGCTGCGGTCTGTCGATTCCCGGTTCACCGAAGCTTCTATAATAAGCCGGATTGAACCGATGTTTTGCTTACTAAAGCAATTATCGGTTACTCTTAGGTTGCCCTAGAAGTAGGACCGAGAATTCCGTTTGTTTGTATGATTGTTTGCGTCCAATATCATCGCATATTGTTTCCCCATTCTCGGCTGACACTGAAGAAACCTTGGGTTTCACTGTTTTGTTCGATTTTCTATTCCCAACAGCTGCACCTTCCTTTGTTTTCCATGGTTGTTGATGGCTCTATAGCTCTTCGTAAACTGCTGCAAAGTGGCAGGGAAGAGAGGACGCGCAATGCATACATCTGTCGCAGTTTGCCGTCTCACTGTGCTTTTCAGTTATCGTCTTTAATATGTTCACACTGAGGCCCTGAACTTGTTCGCAGCAATACCCTGCTCGACCCTTGGCATTACTCTCTTAGTACACACGAAATGCAGATGCAAAGCTTGTGTCTAATCAATTCGGCGATCAATCGCCTGACACTTGATGTCATCGAGTTGTGTTATTACTTTAAAACAGGAGACCGAAGGTGGTGGTGACGTTGCATCCCCGGGATGTGTGTCGAATCACTGTTATACGGAATTAAAAGGGACAGCGAATGATTTGTTAAGAAATTTGATTAACGACCAGGGTATATAATGTGATGGCTACTGCATTGAACCCGCGATACAGATTTGGGAAAGTAAAAGAGAGAGGCAGTGAGCGCTTTCTATAAACATCGGTAATACTGCATCATCCAGTTCACTGGATGGCAAGCAATGGAAGTCAGTTCAGAATCATTGCGCAGTCACTAGGTTAATGTACAGCGACAGAGTGAACGAATGGTCACCTGTCACCGAGCACAGATTGTCACAGTCAATCACACTGGTAAGTACAGCAAATCGAATGAGTCTGATAAGTCTATGAGACTTTGAACAGGTCAGCTGAACTGGACCTAGGCAATCCAGCTGCCTTCCGCCACCAGCTGACTTTCCTGTCAACAACATTGTAGTTCTAGGTTGAACTGGAATCAAGTGAATGCAACCTGAGGAGTGATATGCCTTAGCTTCACGGAACTCATCACGTGTCACCGGTCAGTTGATTAATCAGCGGGTGTCGTTCAATAAGAGCAAACGAATGGGTGTTAGAATTGGTGCATATATCCCGCTGAGTGGCAGAATCGGGAACTACAAGGGAAGAAGTGGTTTGGTGTACTTAACTAGGTGAATTTTCAGCCAGTGAAGGGCAGAGCTCATAGTTGTTCACTTTGGAAATGAATTGGTGGGTTTTTTTTAATAGCAGATAGCGTTTGAGTGCACTGAATACTTTATCCCATAAATCCGCGGACAAAAAGTGCCTGCAGTAGGTGGGACTCCATCGCGGATTCAGATTTAAGCTGAATGACTGCCTTTTCAGTGCACATTAGGACAGTTGGTGAACGTCAAGATTAGAGTACTATATCATAACCGTAGTATGCTCCCCAGTCGTCTAAGTGCATAGCTGATTGGGAGCACCTTCGAGACATAGACCTATCGCCGTTTGATGTCGGAATCCGGTACACGAGCCATACAGGTTAATTCACCGCTCGATGAAATGAACGGTTAAGCCACACCCGATCCGTGCAAATTGTGGGGAGAAGTGCCGCTGTCGTCATAAGAAAATTAACACAAACACTGTTCCAGTTAATGGTTCAAAAAGAGAGATTGGGGGTCTTTTCGAAGTACTTATTGTGTGAATGTATTGCGAAGTGCAGCGCAATATTTTGGGGCGGGCAAAACCCAAAGTCCAAAAAGTGTTTAAACGGTAGTGGAGTGAGGGATAGCCGGAAAACACAAACGCGTTCTTCACCACAGGTTTCCACCTACTTGCAATCACGTGGTGTTTCCGATCAGAGTGTTATGAGACACGGACACGATCAAAAAGTCACGATGGCGGCGGGCGGAAAACAGGCGTTTATTCAGTATAGAGTAGCCTATTTAAAAGAAATAAACACTTAATCTTCGAGCCTTCTCAGTGGGTCTTCTGTTTTCCGGTTCACCTCATTGGTCGCGTTCCCCTTTTATTTCATTGGGTTATGTTATTCCTCTTCGGTCGCTGTCTTCCTGTCTCACGCAATGATCACATCTTTCGTGCTCGGCATCTGATTGGCCGTATTTCTTTGGACCCGCTCATATTTGGCTTTGCACTCTGAAACTTGCCGTTAATAGCGATTCTCGAGTTGCCAGTGCGCCCTCTATGTTCTATTGTCCAATCCGGTTTGTCGGTTTCTGGATACGTGTGCCACTCGTGATTCGCTGTCCAGCCATCGCTGTGTCTCC